AGAGAAAAGGTAATGTCTGTGTCATCTTTGTGCTCTCTAGATGGTGGAGCAGTGTTGTGATTTAACCCAGCAGGCAGCTAAACACCACGTTCGCTCACTCCCCCCCTGCCAGTGGGATGGGGGAGAGAATCGGGAAAAAAAAAGTAAAATTCATGAGTTGAGATAAAGACAGTTTAATAGGACAGAAAAGGAAGGGAAAATAATAATAATAATAAAAGAATATACAAAATAAGTGATGCACAATGCAATTGCTCACCACCCACCAACCGATGCCCAGCCGAGCAGTTGCCACCCCTCAGCCAACTTCCCCCAGTTTATATACTGAGCATGACGTCATATGGTATGGAATATTCCTTTGGCCAGTTTGGGTCAGCTGTCCTGGCTGTGCCCCCTCCCATGCTGGCAGGGCATGAGAAGATGAAAAGTCCTTGACTAGTGCAAGCACAATTTAGCAACAACTAAAACATCAGTGTGTTATCAACATTATTCTCACACTAAATCCAAAACACAGCACTATACCAGCTACTAGGAAGAACATTAACTCTATCCCAGCCAAAACCAGGACAGTATCCACCCCTTATTCTATACCATCTACGTCATGTATTGCTGGATGCTGCCACCAATTCTCAGAAATGCTCATAGTGTCTATTCATGGAGTACCAAAAGTTCCCAGGATCCAACTGATACTTTTCAGTTGCCCTCTCTTGTTAAAACCCAGCAGAAGTGGTAAGCTAATCTCCCAACATTTCAAAAGTCCTACTTTTCTCTTTGCCCTTAAATATAATAACAACAAGCAGCACAGTAACCTTTGTATTCTGTAACTGAATAGACCTAAGTAGGAAATACATCACATCCATGAATTTGTTCAGAGGCTCTTTTATTATTCCTTTTCCTTCTTAAATCTCTCACTGTCCCAGACAGTTAAAATGGAGGTAACAGCACTAGTGTTTGTACAACTACCAAACTTCAAGTGAAAACACTTGATGTACCACCTGTGAAGTGCTGACTGTTACTATACATCTTAATACCTTGTCTAGGAACAGTCTGACATGTATGAGAACCCATCTGGCTCTGTGTCTTCTGGTGAAACTAACACAAGAACTGAGAGTGCCACTCTACTGGAAGTGTTTTCACACTTACTGTGCTCATCCTGGTGCTGACAATAGCAGCACGAAGTGCATACCGTACAGAAGCATTTAGCTTCCCTGGGAGCAGTCACGTGCCAGCTAAGAAACTGCTCCTCCACAACACACCGTTTGTTTCTGCAGTCAACATCAACAATCTGTTTTGTTCCAAGAAATCAATTTCCAACACTGAGTGGGGGTAGAGGGCTGTTTGTATCTAGATTTTTTGTCATACAAACCATGCTTTAATATCAGTTCATTCAGGGCAGTGTAAAATATCTCCAGCATTTTCCCTGCATTTTAACCCCTAAAGACTTTCATGAGCCTTTTAGATATGCTTGTAAGGGAAAGTAGGATCTGTTCTGAACAGATCTTGAGTGCATTAGCCCTTGCAGGACATCCTCAAACTGTTTCGCAGAATTTTGACCTCCAGTGATTGTGTATTCTTTGTAAAAAAAAAAAGGACACTTTTCCTGGGTGCTATGGCAAGCTTTGTGTTTCCCACTTCATCTACCCACAGACCTACTCAGCAAATTCCTTCATTGGGGCTAGGATAACTACTGTGAGACTTGTATTTTTACTTATTTGTTGATACTTTTGAGTGTCTTTCATTGTCACAACCATTTTTTTTTTAAACAGTGGCTTATGCATGTATGTCCAATTGAATAACTACCTGGTTACTTTCACATCAACAAATCTGCTTCTGCAACAAAACATTCCTCACTCCATGGACAATCCTTTCTGAGCTAATAATACTGTTGTCATCTTCTCTGGAGTATAAGGAATTCCATGAGGTCTCCTATCACCACTATGTCACCCTCTGTGGATTCATTCAGGACAAGTGGTGTCCACTAGCTCATCATGCAAATTGCTTTGAGGTCCTGTTTTGTCTTTCAGGATCCTTTCAGGATTTTACTCATGGATTTGGAGCAGTCTGGTCTCTTCTCAGTAACTCTTTGCTTTCCTTCCCACCAAACGACAAAAGTGGTTCTTAAGACCTACAACAAACTCTTCATTAATTTTTTACCAGGATGAAAGTCCTTGTCCTTTTGTTTCATTCTGCTGCAGAGCACAGTATGTATCAAATATTTGTCATCCAGTTTCATGAAAAGCCTACTCCACAAAAGTCAGCCAAAACTCAGACATTTCATAGAATTACCAAATGATAGAATAATTCAGATTGGGAAGGACCTCAGAAGGTCTCTAACCCAACCTCCTGTTCAAAGCAAGGTTAGCTATGAGATCAGACCAGGTTGCTCAAGGTTTTATCCAGTCAGGTCTTGAAAACCTCCAATGATGGAGACAACTACACCTCTCTAGGCAACCTGTTCCAACACTTAATTGTCCTTATGGTGAAAAAAGGTGACCTGAAGGACAGATGTTGCCAGAAAGAAGGTTAATTCCCATCTGTCTTGCTTTTTTCCCTAAGCCCATTGCTTTCAGTTGCAATGAAAAGCACTGCTCTTTCACTTACTTTTCTTATTTCCAGAGAATTTTGCTTCTCAAAGTCTATAGCAATAGCATTTCTCCATCAAGTTGACTATATTTTTTTAACTGCCAGTACCACAGAGTAATTAGTTATGATCTTTAGCACTTGTAAGAACTCCCTCTTGTTATTACGTAGGTGTGCAATTCCAACTGTCCTACTTCACAACATGTATCTCCCTACAGCACTCCATTCCCAGACTGCCACTTTCTGAGAAGCTAAAACACATTGAAAATGTCATTATGGCTATTTACTTGACTGTGGGAGCAGCTACACCAACCTGGCCTCCCTAACAACTCACCTTTAGCTCTCAGCTGTGTATAGTACAAGGAGTAGCAAGGGGGTGGGAGGAGCAGGAATCATAGAATCACAGAACCATAGAA